AAAAAAAATTTATTTAGACATGGGTTCTTACTGAGTTGCTTATTAGGGCCTTGCTAAGTTGCTGAGGGTGGCCTTGAACTTGTGATCCTCCTACCTCAGCCTCCCAAGCCACTGGAATTCAGGTGTGTGCCACAGCACCTGGCCCCATCCCCTGACCCCATCCCCAGCCTTTTTTACTTTAAGACAGAGTCTTGGTAAGTTTCCCAGTCTGTCCTTGAATTTACAGTCCTCTCACCTCAGCCTTGCAAGTCACTGGGATTACAGGCATGTGCCACTGTGCTTGGTTTATTTTATTTCTTTTTAAGAGAAAAAGAGTTTTTAGCTGCTTGAAACCCTTAGGTTGTTAAACTTCACTTTCTGTAATTTGTATTATCAAAGTTTATTTGAAAAATTTTCTAAAATTAATCTTGTTATATCTAATAGATTTATATTTAAATTATATGTCCCCTTCCCTCTCTTATTTTAGAATAAATTTCTTGTCCCACTATCTTTCTTAGCAACTTTAACATCCATATTGGTTCTTCTGATACCTTAGGATCATAATTCTTCAGTTCTTTTAACTTGTCTTCATCTCTGCCACACAGCACTTCAGTCTCTTTATCCTTCTGCACTCTTTTAAGTTTATCAACTTCCTTGCATGAATAACTGTTGTGCAGCTTGATAACATGAGATAGAATAGAACTGATGGATAGGTAAGAAAACTGGCACAGTAGGTAGGCAATTAGAGAATAATGAAATGGAGATATCTTCTGACACTGGATCCTCCCTAATGGCATCCTCTTCCTCCTAGAAATAAACTTAAATTATTATATTGAAAAAATATATCTCAAATTAGGGTGTAAAATGCTTTCATAAATTAGAATGTTAAAAATTTTCTCAAGTTTCAGCAAGAGGTTATATGATCTGTCAATCATAGGAAACACCATTTAACAAGTGTTTTGCTTGTTGTGCCATGATATCCTGGATTTGCACAATAAAAATTACCTGTCTAATTCAGAAGTATCTAGTTTTAGAAAATCTTTTTTTTAAATGTGCTATTAACACATTTGCTTTTATAAAGTTTAGTAGGAAGCTGTCATTTTATAGATAGAAAATGATGTGAGTTTTAGAATTTTATAATTTTGATGTCTTTTTGTTGTGATAATATATAACTTACAAAACTGATACAGAAACCATAGGATTTAGATTTAGCACCCCTTCAACTTGTTCCTTTTCTATATGCTTTTAAATAAGTAGTAAAGACGGTTGTTTTTTTTTTTTTTTTTTTGGCCATAGTTTTTAAAAGGGTGAATAAAAAGAGAACAAAATATCTCTTACTGGGCATTGGGGTCTGTAGAGCCTTATTTTGTAATAAGTAGTTGTTGTTGCTTGTTAATTCTTTACTGAGATAAATACTTTTATTTGGTCATGATTTGTAATGTGTTAATATTGTTGAATGTGGGAAAACCACACTTATTTTGAATCTTCATAAAAGGATAAAATTTTTAATTTTGTTACAGCAATAACAATCAAGCTTTACAATGACAACCTATTTGGAATTCATCCAACAAAATGAAGAACGAGATGGAGTTCGATTTAGTTGGAATGTTTGGCCATCAAGTCGACTGGAAGCTACAAGAATGGTTGTTCCAGTTGCAGCCCTCTTTACACCACTGAAGGAAAGGCCTGATTTACCACCCATTCAATATGAACCTGTTCTGTGTAGTAGGACTACTTGCCGTGCAGTTTTGAATCCTTTATGGTAATTAAAATATATTGACAGAACTAATGTAGTAGTACAATTCAAACACGTAGTTTCTTTATGTTCACTTTTGTAAAAATGTCTTTGTTTTGTTCATAGTAATTTTTTCAGACTCCAGTAGTTCAAGAAATCCAAAGAACTGTTAAGTTTTACGATCATTCTAGTTGTAGTGAGTTAATCATATAAAGATATCAGATATAAAAGTATCACCATAAAAACTGTTAAAGCCTATCAGTGTTTTCTGGATACTGATGCTGGCTGTATATCAAGGCATCTTTTGTCATTGGAAAAGTCATAATTGAATAGTATGGTATTTTAAAAAAATGTTATGATACATAGCTTTTTAGGGGTGGAAGGTGGGTACCTGGGATTAAACTCAGGGGCACTTGGTCACTGAGCCACAACCCTAGCCYATTTTTGTATTTTCTTTAGAGACAGGGGTCTCACTGAGTTGCTTACTACCTCACTTTTTGCTGAGGCTGGCTCTGAACTTTCAATCTTCCTGCCTTAGCCTCCTGAGCTGCTGGGGTTACAGGCATGTGCCACCATGCCCTGCTTATTATGTTTTTTAATTAATTTATTTTTTTAAGAATCTTCCCATTTCATGTCAGTCCAAATCACATTTTTTTTGTGTGTGTACTGGGTATTGACTCCAGGGTGTTTTTACCTCTGGGTTACATCCCCAGACCTTTTTTATTTTTAATTTTGGGACAGGGTCTTACTGAGTTGCTTAGCGCCTTGCTTTTGCTGAGGCTGGCTTTGAACTTGCAATCTTCCTGCCTCAGCCTTCCAGGCTGCTGGGATTACAGGCATGCACCACCATGCCCACATAGCTTTTTTTAAAAAAATTTTTTTTAGTTGTAGAAGAACACAATACTTTTATTTTGTTTATTTATTTTTATGTGGTGCTGAGGATCGAACCCAGTGCCTCACACATGCTAGGCAAATGCTCTACTACTGAGCTATAACCTCAGCCCCCAAAATACATAGGTTTTAAAGATCATTTTGACTATTAATTTGAATGCATTCATTTTATAGAGATAAATTAATTTTATTGAAATTAGGATCTTTATAAAATTGAACTGAAATATAAACTGATATATCTTTTCTTAAAACAGTCAAGTGGATTATCGAGCAAAACTCTGGGCTTGCAACTTTTGTTATCAAAGGAATCAGGTAAGAAAATCCCCGTTATAGATGTTAATGCTATAATACAAGTCACATAGAAAAATGAATATTTAAGAAAGATAAAATATGGGCTGGGGTTGTGGCTCAGTGGTAGAGCACTTGCCTAGCATGTGTGAGGCACTGGGTTCCATCCTCAGCACCGCATATAAATAAATGAATAAAATAAAGGTCCATCAGCATCTAAAAAAATTTTTTTTTAAAGAAGAAGATAAAATAGTTATCTTTCATGTAATGAAATGTCTTTTTTACTAATTAAATGATTAAAAAGTAATTATTTTTTGAGTTTAAAATTTTATTGATTTTTCTTGCAAATAATTTGTTAAAAATTTTTATGTATTTCTCTCTATAGTTTCCACCTACTTATGCTGGGATATCTGAACTGAATCAGCCTGCTGAACTTTTACCTCAGTTTTCTAGCATTGAATATGTAGTTCTGGTAAGAACATAAGAACAGATATTTAAGAAAATTTTAAATATCCAGTGTGTTATATTAGGATAATTGTTAATTTGAGATAACTTAAAAGGGATCATCACACATTAAGTTGGTGGGGCATTTCAATGGTAAGAGCTGTTAGAGTCAATTTGAGAAAGGTAATTTCTTTATTATAGTTATTTGTTGGGTGGTCAGATACTGGGTAGGGTGGGGTGATTTGCTATGTTGAGTAAAACAATCAAAAATAAAGTATCAATCTTGTTTTGTAATTGGAACATCAGTTTACAAATAGTTGGCCAATATAACTCTGAGGTCTGCTAATTTATCCCCATGTCTAATTAATAAAAATATTTTTGCTTTGGAAAATAATTTTTCTTCCCTTTCTGGACAATTTTACATAGTTATTTATAAGTTTAAGTGTGGAAATGATAATATGAATATTGTAGAGAAAATGGAGTTATGGTTCATTTGAGCCAGTCAGTAATTTGTTTAGCTTGGCTCATTTTTGGGTCTCTGAAAATCCACTTCAAGTCTGGATAGTTGTTTTATTTATTTATTTATTTATCTATCTATCTATCTATCTATCTATTTATTTATTTATTTATAAAAGCGAGAGAGAGAGAGAGAGAGAGAGAGAGAGAGAGAAAGAGAGAATTTTTTAATATTTATTTTTTAGTTATTGGCAGACACAACATCTTTGTTTGTATGTGGTGCTGAGGATTGAACCCAGGCCACACGCATTCCAGGCGAGAGAGCTACCACTTGAGCCACATCCCCAGCCCCTGGATASTTGTTTTATAAAAATCACTTCACTTTGTTTTTAAACTCTATATTTGTTATTTTATTATTTTAAAATTAATAAATACTTATTATAAGCGAAATAAGACAGACTTAGAAAGTCAAGGTTGAGTTGGGTCTGAGTTGGACATAGTGTAATTTGGTAGATTTCATTTCCAGTACTTCCCCATTTCCTCCCCTCCTTCTCCTCAATCCCTTTTCTCTACTCTATTGGTCTTGAGATTCCTTTCTTAGCTCTTTTTTTCCCCCTTTAACTTCCACCTATGAGAGAAAACATTCAATCTTGACTTTCTTTTTTATTGTCATTTTTGGTACTAGGAATTGAACCCAGGGATGGGTTTGACTGAGCTATATCACAGCCCTTTTTATTTGTCGTTTTGAGACAGGGTCTCACTAAGTTGTTTAGGGCCTCACTAAATTGCTAAATATGTCCTTGAACTTTTGATCAGAAGGATCTTAGTCTCCCAAGTTGCTGAGATTATAGGTATGTGCCACCATGCCCAGCTGAATCCCACATTTGTGATTAATTATAATGTTCTGATTAAAATAATAATAATAATAATAATGATAGATGGAAGATCARTAGAGCAGAGCAAGTGGATTGGGGGGAGAGAGGAGGGGAGGGTAAGGAAAAGTACTAGGAAATGAAGTTGATCAAATTATGTGCATGTATGAATATGACATAATGAATCCATTATTATGTATAGTCATAATGTATCAATTAAAATGTAGTATAGAAAGCAAAAAACAAGAGAAATGAACCCTTCTGTAATGAAATAAAATGGAAATTGAAAGTGCCCTCCAAGTAACTATGTAGAATGTTTTTAAACTTAATTTTTCCCTTGATGCTGTGTCTTGGATGGCTCTTCATGACACATATATAACCTGTTTCATTTCTGTAATGGCTATAATAGAACTCTATCATATGCATGTATTAGGATTCCATTGTATGCATTATTTAATTAGTCCCTGATCGACTGTCTTAAAATTTGTGCTGAAGTGTTAATGCTTTTAAAAAACCTTATTTTTCTTACTACTGCAAAATTTTTTTAAAAGCGTGGTCCACAGATGCCTTTGATATTCCTCTATGTGGTTGATACTTGCATGGAAGATGAAGATTTACAAGCCTTGAAAGAATCCATGCAGATGTCATTAAGTCTCTTACCACCTACAGCTTTGGTTGGACTTATTACTTTTGGGAGGATGGTGCAGGTTCATGAACTTGGATGTGAAGGCATTTCAAAAAGCTATGTCTTTAGGGGAACAAAAGATCTATCTGCCAAACAACTGCAGGTAAGTAAGAATGGTAGTTTTCAACTTGTGAATGTTATTTCATGTAAGTAATATATATGCCTTTTGGATATGTTTCTAAAAAAATAAGGAAAAATTATGAATGATTAATATAAATGTGTTACAACAAAAGTTTTAAATTTAGTGTTGTCATCACTTTTTTTTTTCATGTTCCTTAAATTGCTGTTAGGCAGATTAAAGATCTTTTACTTTTAACTGTATTCTTTTTTTTTTTAATCCCATATGTGTTAGGGATCAAACTGAGACACTTGCACATGCTAAGCAAATATTGTACCTTTGAAACACATCCCCAGCCCCTAAATGTATCTTTAAAATTTAAAGTGAAACCAAAGATATTTTACTAGAGATTTGAAGGGCTTATAGAAAAGAAATGCTGAAGGCTAGGAGAGAGCAATCACACAATATTAGCTTTTTTCCCCCTCCCTCTTCCTCCTCCTTTACCTTTTTTTTTTTTTTTTTTTTTAAGCAATACTAGCTTTTGCTTCTAGACATTTCACTTAGAGATTTTGATAGCCCATAAAAAAGTAAGTGAATGTTTATTTGTATTGGGAGATGACTGGGTTGTTCATGTATGTATTTTGAAAAAAATTTCTAAGTGATTCTAGTACAATTCCATTTGAAAACATTTCCTCTGGAAGATAATAGTTAAACCTGGAATAAAGCCAACACACATGAAGTCAAACTTTGGAGGCATCCAGGTTAACCCAAATGAAAAAGAAAGGAAGAAAAGATTTTTGAGGATGACTCTTAATCTGAAGCTTGGCAGATTGGTATAGTGGTACTAAAGTTAATTGAAAACATCCTAGAGGAGCTTGCAGGTTTGGATAAATAAATAGGATTTGAGGAAGTAAAGAAAAGTCTGTTTTTGGGAGGAGGGGTGGAATACCCTGTGGCACTCTGTTGCTGTACCACATCCCAGCCCTTTTTTTTTTTTTTCCTTTTTAATTTTGAGGCTGGGTTTCATTAAGTTGCTAAGACTGGTCTTGAACTTACTGTCCTCCTGCCTCAAGCTTTCTGCATTTCAGGGATTCCTGGCATGTGCCACCAATAGGCTAAGTTTATTGTTTTAAGAGGTTTGTTGTTGAAAATAAGGAAGAAGACAATCTGGGAATTTGAGCAAGAACCAAATTTAAGATGATTACTTTAGGAGGAGAGACACTATACACAGAAGGGAAATACATTGAAGAGTGAATGCAGGCAAGAATTAGATGAGCAGAGTGAGGTTTCAGAAGACATGGCAGGAATTTTTTAGGAAGTAGAATGTCTTGGAAGGGGGGATCATCTGTTTCCATGAGACAGGAGATAAAGTGGTCAAGTTTTAACCTCTCTGTGCTTTTCATCTGTAGAATGGAGATACAGGGTGAGTTCCTTTATCCAAAATTCTTGGTGCCAATGAAGTAGTAAAAATGTATAACAGGCAATCAAAAATTCTGAAAACCTGATGACTGAATTAATTCCTTTCTCTTTCTGGAGTTCAGTTTCCAAGAATGCAGGGACTATTCATTTTTTCACCATTTTATTCCTGGTACATAGTAGGTATTTAATATATAGTTACTGAAAGGGATGAATGAATATGTTATTTATTTTGACTATTAAATTAGAAATAATGTATTTGAGTTAATATCCTTTCTCTTTGCTCCCATAAAATCTTGTCCTTTGCCTCCTCATGATGATTATTTCACTGGACTGTTAATGTTTTTCTGAAACTTTCTTGAATTGGACTCTTGCCCACAAGCAAGAAAGAGATCTTGCTTGTGCCCTTTATTTTTTTGAACCTACTTTCTAGCATAGCACCTTGCACATTATAAATAGTTGACAAGTTTTTGTAGAATTAAGTGCATGTTACTCAAATAATCTTTTTACAGGAGATGCTGGGACTCTCTAAAGTACCAGTCACCCAAGCAACCCGAGGTCCTCAGGTACAGCAGCCACCTCCTTCCAATAGGTAATAATCAAATGTGACAATCAGAATTTTGCAATTTATGCAGCTATTTTAAGTATCTCATACCCTTGAGCCTTTTTTTTTTTTTTTTTTCATTGTGGTACTAATGGTTGAATCTAAGGCCTCATGCTTTCATGCTAGGCAAGCACTCTACCTACCACTGAGCTACGCTTCCGGCCCAGCTCATATCCTTAACTTGAACATAGGCATTCAACAATACTATATTGTTAAATATTTTTAGGAATTTAATGGRTTTAATTAGACTACTTGTATTTTTTATTTTATTTTATTTTGATATAGAGTTTTATTAAGTTGCTTAGGGTCTTTCTAAGTTGCTAAGGCTGGCCTCAAATTCGTGATCCTCCTTCATCCCGAGTTACTGGGATCACAGGTGTGCACCACCATGCCTGACATGATTATACTTTTTAAAGAATTGAGACAGAATCACATCACTGAAATTTTTTTAATCACTACAATGTAAAGAGTTTAGTTTTTATATATTGTTGATTTTCTATTTTTAAGTTCATAATAATTTTTGTGGTTTGAGGGCAATCCAACAAAAGTAGGACCTCAAAAACTTTTTATTTTGTTTTTTTCAACTTTAGAGGTAGCTTTTTCTCTTGAACTTTATAATTTTTATAATTGGATGTGATATTACTTTTTTTTTAGGGGGGGATACCAGGGATTGAACTCAGGGGTGCTTGACCATTGAGCCACATCCCCAGCTGTATTTTGTATTTTGTTTAGAGACAGGGTCTCACTGAGTTGCTTAGCATCTCACCATTGCTGAGGCTGGCTTTGAACTCAGGATCCTTCTGTCTYAGTCTCCCAAGCAGCTGGGATTACAGGTGTGAGCCACTGCTCCCAGCCCTGGAAGTGATAAAGTGATATTACTAAAATTGAGTTGATGTTGCTTCTCATAATTATTTCAATAACTTAAAACTTACTAGATGAAAAATGAAAAATCTTGATGAAGTACTTGGTTTGAGTGTTTTGTTTATAGCAGTTATATTATACTGGACCATTAACATAAGTAGCATCTGGGATCTTGTTTGAAATGTAAATTTTTGGCTCACCTCTGCTTCCTACTGAAATGACCTTTAGAATTGGGGCCCAGTAATCTGTTTTAAAAAAAATTTTTAAAACTGTTGGTTTACTGTATATTCAAAGTAATGGTTTCTCTATTTTTAGGAAAGTTTCTTAAACTCTCAATAACACAAATGACTTAAATTTTTTTTTTTTTTTTGGCAGATTTTTACAGCCAGTACAGAAAATAGACATGAATCTCACAGATCTCCTGGGAGAACTTCAGCGAGACCCTTGGCCTGTGCCACAGGGAAAGAGACCTTTGCGTTCCTCGGGAGTGGCACTTTCCATAGCTGTAGGACTACTTGAGGTAGTGATGATGAATTTTTTTTTTTTTTGAAATGTAAGTGTGGGTGTGTCTGTGAGGGTATGGAATTACAAGGGTATAGGGAAAAAAACAAAAACAAACCAAAGTGCTTTTCCTTATTTTGTCACTCAATAATCAACAGATAATACTTCTGTTACCTTAGGAGTGTGTGTGTGTTTTAACCTACATAGCAATCAAGCAGTACTGCAGTGGACGCCAGCTAGATGTTCTTTAATTCAATTTAATTTTTTTTTTAATATTTATTTTTTAGTTGTAGTTGCACACAATACCTTTATTTTATTTATTTATATCTATGTGGTGCTGAGGATTGAACCCAGGGCCTCGCATGTGCAAGGCGAGTGCTCTACCGCTGAGCCACAACCCCAGTCCATAATTCAGTTTAATTCTGACACTGTCTACCTAGAGGTAGCATCACATCTATGGATTAAGGGCTTGATTTCACAAGACTGCTCCCCCATTTCAGATACCAATTGCGGTAGTAAGTTGTTACTTGTAATTTTGACTGACCAGCTGTAAATTGGGGGTTTTCACAACTCCATTTCAGGTTTGATTAATTTGCTAGAGGGGCTCACAGAACTTGGGGAAAACACTTTACTTAGGTTTACCTATTTTATTACATTTTGAGACAGGGTTTTGCTAAGTTGCTTAGGGCCTGGCTAAGTTGAATTTGTGATCCTCCTATGTCAACTTTCTGAGCCACTGGAATTATAGGCATGTGTCACCATGCCCGGCTTATCTCTTTACTTCTTTATTTCATTTTCATTCTCTTGGTTATCTTCTAGTTCTTCTTTAATGTTCCTTATTAAGTTTTTATTTGAATCTGGCTGTTCTAGGTCTGTTGTTGGCTTCCTTCTTTTTTCTTCCTGTTTGTACTCATTTCTCCAAATTACCTTTGCTCTTTGTGAATACTGCAGTGAAAGGATGTAATGATCAGTGGAATTTACTGCTTTTTTTTTTAATTTATAGGAATTTTGAAGTTTGAATGTTATTTGTGCTTTAGTTTTATAAAAGTGTTTGTGTGTATTTTAATTTGTTCTTGTTCTTCCTTTTTTCATTTTTACATGACTGTTTTTATTTTAGATTACCAAAATGAAAATTACTTTTGTTTATTAAACTAGTTTGAGAAAGTTATGGAAGTAACAAACGTGATTTCATTCAAATAATATCTAAGAATGCATAAAAATGAAAACTAAAAAGTAGTTTTAGCTATATCCTCAGCCCTTTACTTTTGTTTTCTGTGGAGCTGGGGCTGGGGCTGTAATTCTATAGTAGAACACTTGCCTACCATGTACGAGGCCCTGGGTTTGATCCCCTGCACTGRGCTGGACAGAAAAGATATGTCTTCTGTGTTTCTTTCTGCTTCTCTGGGACTAGTTAAGCAGGTGAAATGTATTTGTTAATAGGCATTAGGGTTATAGGTTATTTTAAAATTAGTAATGCACTACTATTTAGAAGAGAATTTCAAAAGAAACCTCAAACATCTGGTTTTTAATTTCATTTTAAACATTAAATTATTTTATTTCTTAGAAAATACATTCTTCCCACTTTTCTTTAAATAACATCAGAATTTATATATCTATATCTTTCTCATTTTCCTTTAAATTCTTTTGATAAGTTTCTCTTTTCCAATAGTGTACTTTCCCCAACACTGGTGCTCGTATCATGATGTTCATTGGTGGTCCTGCTACTCAGGGACCTGGAATGGTGGTTGGAGATGAATTGAAGACACCTATAAGATCATGGCATGACATTGAAAAAGACAATGCCAAATATGTTAAAAAGGGAACCAAGGTAATTTTTGTTTTTAAGTTTTATTACCTTACTAGAAGGTACTAAGTTGTTTTGAYGTATTGTTTTGATGATTTCTGTAGAAATCTGGTGTCATGAAGTCTGATATTATAACTGCTATTCAGAACTGAGGAAATAGTCTTTTTTTTTTTTTTTTTTCGCCTTGAAAGTTGTAACAGTTTTTCTGGTTTCAAATATTTAAAATTTAATTGTAGCCAGGCATGGTGGTGTACACCTGTAATCCTAGTAAATCTGGAGGTTGAGACGGGAGGATCACAAGTTTTTGGCCACCTTGGGCAAATTAGTGAGACTGTCTCAAAATTAAAAAAAATGATTTTTTAAATTTTGAGACAGGGTCTTGCTCAGTTGTTTGGGCCTTGAAAAGTTTCTGAGGCTGACCTCAAACTTGGACTCCTTCTGCCTCAGACTTCTAAGTCTGGGATTATAGGCATGTGCCACCAGGACTGACCGAAATGTTTCCTCTTGATAAGTACATTGTTTGTAGTTTGAATGTTTCGTATTTTCTTGTGAGTTACTTTTTGTTTATCTGACTTCATTTTGTTTTTTGATTTTGTGCAAATCCCCAGGCCTTTTACTTTAGTTTTTTGAGACAGGGTCTGGACTCTGTTATATTGCCTGTTAATGTCCCTTTTTTCTTTTCAATTCTCTAGAGTTCAGTTTTAGCTTAGTTGTGTTGTATTATCTCATATTTTTTGGGTAGTCACTGTTAATTTTTTTTTAGGGGGGGTACAGGGATGGAACACAGGGGCTCTCGACCACTGAGCCATATCCCCAGTCCTATTTTGTATTTTTAATTTAGAGACAGATGTCTGTCTCATTGAGTTGCTTAGTGCCTCACTTTTGCTGAAGCTGGCTTTGAATTCCTGATCCTCCTGCCTTGGCTTCTTGAGCTGCTGGGATTACAGGCGTGTGCCACCACGCCCACCAATTTTTTTTTTTTTAAATTTCTAGTTGTATATGGGCACAATACCTTTATTTGTTTATTATATGGTGCTAGGATTGAACCCAGTGCCTCACATGTGCTAGGCAAATGCTCTACCACTGAGCCACAACCCCAGCCCTTGGCCAAATTTATAAAAGTAACTAATGACATTATTTTTGTCATTGTTAATAGATTTTTTTTTCCTGACAACTAATTTTCTTTCTTTCTTTCTTTCTTTCTTTTTTTTTTTTTTTAATGTTTCTGTACTGGGGTTTGAATCCAGGGGCACTTTACCACTGAGCTACATCCCCAGGCCTTTTTACTTTATTTTTTGAGACAGGGTCTTGTGAAGTTGTCCAGGCTGCTGTTAAACCTATGATCCTCCTGCCTTGGCCTCTTGAGTAGCCGGGATTACAGCTGTATGACAACTGTACCCAGCCTAATTTCCCTTTTGAGCTTCCAAGTTTTCTTGGTTAGAGCTACAAAAAATGTTTTCTTTATCTTTTTGCTTTTGGAATTGTCTGTTTTTGTTACTTGCATGTGAACTTAACCAGGAAAAAGAATTAAAGAATCTGTCTTATTCTACTCTTTTTTTTTGTGGTGTCAGGGATTGAACCCGGTTCCTTATGTATGCAAGGCAAACACATCTACYAACTGAGCTATGTCCCCAGCCCTTGTCCTACTCTTTTGACAGATGAATAGCAAGATGTTTGGTATACCTTTCTTTAAATTTTGCTTCATTTAGGGATTTATTTAGAACTAGTGGCTTTTAAATAAAATAATATGAAAATGTCAGACTTCCAGAAGTTATTGTATCATTTTTGTGAGATATTCTAGAAAAGTAAGAATAAATCATACTTAAATTATGAATTCTTTTAATCTTAAAATCATTTTGATTTGATAATAGAAAAATATTTGTAGAATGATTAATTTTGTATGTTAGATTTCATTCAAAAATCTTTTATAGCATTTTGAAGCATTGGCTAATCGAGCTGCTACAACTGGTCATGTTATTGACATCTACGCRTGTGCATTAGATCAGACAGGTCTCCTGGAGATGAAATGCTGTCCCAACCTTACCGGGTATGAATTTAAATTTGTATATTTTTTGCAATTCTAAATTCATGATGACAGTTTACAAATACAAACCAAATAATGACTATTTAGGAAAATAAAAGAATCATTGTCTTATCACTTCAGGGCAATATCTTATTAACAGTTTCGATGTTTCTTATGTAAACACACTTTACATTTTTGTCTAAAATATAATGTTGTTATATACAATAGTTCTGTCTATTGAACTCTACTATTGAAAGGGCCTATGAGCAATCATGGTCCAGTAGCAGTGAGGACACCCAGTACCCAGATCTTGGTGTCTACTAAAAGTAATCAAGGGTTCTAATAGAATTGGCTGATTCTAGGGTTTGGACAGGGAAAATACAAGGTGAGCCTGAAGCTATGAATCTGTGTTGGTTCCTCACTGTCACAGTGTGCCACAATAATGTGGATTGTTAACAACAGAGGAAGTTGGGTACAAGATATACAGAACTCTCTTTGCAACTTCTCTGTAAATATAAAACTATTCTAACATAAATTTTTTTTTAGTTTTATTGATTTTACTTTTTTAAATACATGACAGTGGAGTACATTACAATTCTTATTATACATATAGAGTACAATTTTTTATCTTTGTATATAGAGTGTGTTCACGCCAATTCATGCCTTTATACATGTACTTTGGTTATTTTTTTTTTTGCATTACAATTCTTATTACACAAGTATACCACAATTTTTCATAACTCTGTTTATATGTAAAGTATGTTGACACCCAATTCGATTCTAATGATGTCCGTCACATACCACAGCCCTTGCTAATCTTCCTCTCCCTCCCCCCTTCCCTATCTAGAATTCATCTAATCCTCCCATGCTCCCCCTTCCTACCTCACTATGAGTCAGCCTCCTTATATCAGAGAAAACATTAGGTATTTGATTTTTTGGGATTGGCTAACTTCACTTAGCATTATCTTCTCCAACACCATCCACTTGCCTGCAAATGCCATAATTTTATTCTCTTTTAATGCTGAGTAAAATTCCATTGTATATATATGCCACATTTTTTTTTTATCCGTTCATCCACTGAAGGATATCTATGTTGGTTCCACAGTTTACCTATTGTGAATTGTGCTGCTATAAACATTGATGTGGCTGTGTCCCTGGAGTATGTTGTTTTTAAGTCCTTTGGGTATAGTCCGAGGAGAGGGTCTAACATAAATTTGTTATAAAAAACTGTAAACAAAAAAAAACAAAAAAAAAAAACTGTAAACAAGTATGGCAATTCAAATGAATTTTCACCATTGAAAACATATGTAATAATGTCTTCTAAAATTATAAACATGTATTTAATATTATATATAATTAAATAATATGTAAAATAATAAATATAAACATAMAATTATGTTGAATTATATATAATTAAAATATACAACAATAATAACATTAAAAGAGGTGGTAAAGGAATTAAGATACTTTTAAATCCTTGCATTATCTGGGAAATTATAAAAATGTTCACTTATATTACATTTTCATGAATCAGGAAAAAAATTTAAAAAAATATAGTGTTATAAAGTTGCCAGTTCTGTTTAAGAATCTCATTTTGATATCTTGAAATCATTATTTTGCTATTTTAGCARTGTTTTCATACATAATTCACATTACCATAAAACTATTTAAAATGTACAGTGTGGTGGTTTTTTATGTTTACACATTGCACAGCCATTGCCATAATTTAATTAATTTGCATTACTCTAGAGACAATACCCATTAGAGGTCCTCCGTTTCTTCTTCCTTCTCATTCTCAGCTACTTTCTGAGCCTTAGGCAGCCATGAATTGCATATTCTGAATAATTTATATAAATGGAATAATATAATATGTCGTCTTCATTTAGCATAATGTTTCAAGTTTCATATTTATGATGTAACAGTATTTTTTTGGCAGTACTGGGGATTGAACCAACGACCTCACACATGCTTGGCAAGAACTCTACTACAGAGCTACATCTCTAATCCTTTTTTTAAATTTTATTTTGATTTTGAAACAAGGTCTTGTTAAGTTGTCTAGGCTATCTTCAAATTTGAGATGCTTATTCTTCAGCCTCCTTTATTAGCATGTACCACCACACCCAGCTTTATTTCTTTATTATTGTATAATAAAAAGGGAAGAAGGAGGTTCAACTTCATTTAACAATATTCCATTGTATGGATATACCACATTTTATCAATCTACATTGAACATTTCATTGCCATTTTTTGATTATTATGGATCATGCTAATTTGAACATTGTGTGAACATTGGGTAAATATTGTGCTTTGAAGTTTCTCTTAGATACATATGTAGGAGTGAAGTTGATTTTGTTAGCTTTTTGAATTCTTGATACATTCTGGATCTTAACCCCTTGTCAGAGGAATAGCTGGCAAAGATTTTCTTCTATTCTGCAGGCTTTGTCTTCAAACTCTTAATTGTTTACTTTGCTGTGCAGAAGCTTTTAATTTGGTGCCATTCCACTTATTGATTCTTGGTTTTATTTCTTGAGCTTTAGGAGTCTTGTTAAGGAAGTTTTGGTGCCTGCAGCTGTATGATGGAGTGCTGACCCTTCTAGCAGTTGCAGGATTTCTAGTCTAATTCCTAAACCTTTGATCCACTTTAATTTGATATTGTACAGGGTGAGAGAGGGGGATCTAGTTTCATTCTTCTACATATACATATCCAGTTTTCCCAGCACCATTTCTTAAAAAGACTGTCTTTTCACCAACATGTATTTTTGGCACCTTTGTCAAGTACTAGGTGGCTGTAAGTATGTGGGTTTGTCTCTGTGTCTTCTATTCTATTCCACTGGTCTTCATGCTTGTGTGAATGCCAATACCTTGCTGTTTTTGTTCCTATAGCTCTGTAGTATAATTTGARATCTGGTATTGTGATCCCTCTTGTATCACTCTTCTTGCTCAGGATTGCTTTGGATATTCTGGGTCTTTAATTTATCCAAATGAATTTAAGGACTGTTGTTTTTCTTTTCCTAGTTCTGTGAAGAATGTCATTGGTATTTTGATGGGGCTGCATTGAATCTGTATATTGCTTTTGGTAGTATGCCAATTTTGAAAGTATTAATTCTGCCTGTCCAAGAACATGAGAGATCTTTTCATCTTCTAAAGTGTTCTTCAATTTTTTTTCTTCAGTGTTCTGTAATTTTTTTTATATCTTTATTTTATTTTTATGTGGTGTTGAGGATTGAACCCAGYGCCCCGTGCATGTCAGGTGAGCACGCTACCGCTTGAGCCACATCCCCAGCCCGTAGTGTTCTATAATTTTAATTGCAGAGATCTTTATTTCCTTGGTTAGATTAATTCCCAAGTTGTTTTCTTTCTTTCTTTTTTTTTTTTTTGAAGTTATTGTGAATGGGATGATTTTCCTGATTTCTTTTTCAACAGAATCACTGTTGGAGTACAGGAAAGCTATTGATTTATGAATATTGATCTTGCTTCTTTGCTGAATTCATTTATCAGCTCTAGAAGTCTTCTGGTACAGTTTTTTGGGTCTTRTAGATATAGGATTTTGTCATCAGCAAACAGATAATATAACTTCTTTTCCTATTTGTGTCCCTTTAATTTCTTTGAGAGTACTGTTAGCTTAAATATTGTTTTACCTGTGAACATAGAATGTCTTTGTTTATTAAGATCTTTTAAAATTTCTTTGAAGTGTTCTRTAGGTTTCAGTGAACCAGTTTTATATTTTTGTTAAATTTATATTCTTAAATATTTTATTTTTAATGTTATTATAAATGGAATCAATTCCTTAATTCTGTTCTCATGTTGTTTATTGTTAGTGTTAGGAACACAATCAGTTTTTCTTTTTAAATAAATTTTTAGATGTAGATAGACACAGTACCTTTATTTATGGTGGTGCTGAGGATTGAATCCAGTGCCTGACACCTGCTAGGCAAGCACTCTACCACTGAGCCATAATCCCAGCTCATAATCAGTTTTTTTTAAAAATATTTTTTAGTTGTMAATGAACCTTTATTTTATTCATTTATATGTGGTGCTGAGAATCAAGCCAGTCCCCCACAATCTTGTATATGACAGCCTTGCTGAACCTTTGTATTAGTTTTAATTTTTTTTTTTTTGTGGATTTCTTAGATATTCCTATATGTAAGACCATGTCACTTCTTCCTTTCTATCTAGATGCCTATCTAATCACTCTGGATAGAATGTACAACACAATGTTGAATAAAAAAAGTGATAGTGGACTTCTTGTGTTGTTTTTAATCTTAGAGGGAAATCATTTAATCTTTTCRTAATATGATGAAGATATATTTTCATACTAGATGAAAATCATAGTATGAAAAGATTAAATTTCTCCCACCYGTCTCCCTCCTCCTCTACCCTACTAACATCATCAAATCCARGGCCTTATGCATAGTAGGCAAGCACTTTACTACTGAGCTATAACTTCATCCCCTGATGTTTGTTTGTTAAGTCTACCTTACATTCCTGGGTTGAACCTCATGTGGTCATTGTCACATAACCTTTTTATAGTCAGATTCAATTTCTAGTATTTTCTTGAGGATTCTTGTATCTATCTTCATAGGGCATATTAAGCTATAGATTTCTTATGATGTCTTTTGTTTTGTGTTAGCTTCATAGGATAAATTGGGACATGTTTCCTTTTCTTCCATTAGAGGTTATTACTTTTGAAATAATTTTATTAAGTTTTAAGAAACTCAGGTATATCAATTTATTTTTCAGGTTATTTAATTAGTTCATCTAATAAATATTAATGAGCACCAACTTTGTAGCAAACAGTTTTTTTTTTGTTTTCATTGCAGTGCTAGGGATTGAACCTGGGGCTTTGTGTATGCTAGGCAAGTGTTTCACTGACCTCTATCCTGGCAAACTGTTCAAGGAACTAGAAATACAGCAATGAACGAAACATAAAATGTCTGTTGTCATGGAACTTATCTTCTGTGTGGGGCTCTTAAGTATAATTTTCCAACTTATATTCTGTACTCTATGTGCTACCAAAGTGAGAA